TATAATTTTAAGAGATTAGTAATACGTAAAATATTGTGAATAAATGCAATTTTTAAAAGCTGTTTCTACTACTTTTCGTTAGGTCGTTCTCGATATATTAAAATTAAACAAAATTAGATATAATTTTGAAGTTCTGTTCTACAAGAATAAGTGTAATTAGTACATTTCTTAGACTTCAATTATTATTATTTTAGACTGCTATAGTTAATTCCTTAGAAATTTTAGCAAAGCCAAAACATATTTATAAGGCATTTTCTATAAAAGAAAATTGCAAACATGTTTTAATATGAAATACAAGCCCACCAGCAGCCGATGTGTAAAAGCTGCTGAATGCTGGTAGTTCCACCCGAGGTTCGAGTCCCGGAGAATGGTCTGGCTGCATGGGCGTTTTCGTGGTTTTTCCCATGTGTAACGTAGATACGACCCAGTTTCCGTTAAAAAGACCTCCACGGGGCATTCCTCCCTTTCCGTGTAGTGCTCAGCGAGGGAGCACGTAAATAAGTCAAAAAAGAAAAAAATATGAAATACAAAACTGCAATGATTTTAAAGCTATAGAGTTCCTGCTGTGAAAATGTAGCTATGCTTAATCTTGTTAAGTTCAAAATTCAATTATTATTTTCAAAATTATATTTACTTTACTATAATTTAACATATTTATAACTCCTATATTTATTTTACTCTTATTTTATCTTATTCTTATTGACTCTCATGTAACTGTTAGCTCAGAAAATTAAGCATCCTTATCCAAATGTAAAAGCAAAATTCAGACCTGCGTTTTTTAATAAGAGATAGACTGCTTTTCGTTAATAAGAGTCCGACCTCGTCTCAATACATTTTTAAGCAAAGTGTGTTGAAACTAATTAAATATTAATTAAATACACTATTTTATTAAAGTATAGAAAGGAGAATGAAGGAAAGTTATTTATATATTGTTACCTATTTGTTTTTGGGCATACCAGAGACCAGTATTGCAAATGAAGCTTTAAATTGAAATTTTTCAGCTGGATATGGCTATAATTCTGCAATTACCCGTGTGGCTTATTTTAACATCATTCTAATTATTCTATGTAGTACGTTAATGTCCTTCATTTCATTCTGCAATTTCATTTGTAAAAATACCCGTTTATAAGACCCTGCCGAATTTTAAAACAAAAGTATAGCAAAAGCTATTATTATAGACAGTTTTTAACTGTGCACTAATCGCAATTAGCGCGATTTTTATCAAAACGCTAATTGCGACTATTCTTTCTTCTTTACTTGGAAATTTCAAGGGGAAATTTAATTTAAAATTTAAAATTACTGAATTATTAAAAATAGTATACCGTCGCAGGTTTTTTTTTCAAATTATATTTAAATTATTATCATTAAATTATTTTCAAATTATATTTTTATTTATTAAATTATTATTATTATTTTTATTATAAATTAAATTATTATTATTTGTGACAATGAGAGCTATACTTCGGCCGTTCTTGGTAAAATGATGTTACGTGCGTACGAGTTCGTAGGGGATTGAATACACGCAGAACCAATGAAAGCTTAAAGAAATTTATTTTTCCAAAAACATCTTACATTTCTGGAACTTTTCACACGAAAGCACTTGTACAGCTCTTCTCAGTATGATAAATCACAATCAGTAGTTACCACTTCAAACTACTAAGAATATTGAACACAAGAGTGTTGCTAAGAGCCTCAAAAGCCTAAGTTCGCACAGTAATCTTTCAATACTCAATATTCTGAAATCTCAATACTCTAAGCTGAACTGTCATCTAAAACGGAAAACTGATGTTCTCTCCGGTCTTACATAGTTAAATATATAATAATTATTATATAAACATATAATAACTAAATTATAAAATATTATAATAACCGTCAAGATTTCAAGTTATCCTGGTTCAAAAATACTAATTCTATTCAAATAACACAAATCACCAAGGTAAAAGATCATTACGAATCAGGTTTCTAAACTGCCAAGTTTATTCACGTCTAAGACACATTCAACTGGCACTGCCAGATCCAAGAACAAGAAGTATAACATCATCGCCCCCTTTGGCGATTAAAATATATTTCCACATAAAATTTCTTACACTCCCCCATTCTCCGAGAAATTTTCAGTACCTTCGATTTCTCGAAATTGCTGAAAGGCACACACAGTTACACTTACGTAGGACCGGGTACAATATCATTACCGGGTATATTATCAAAATAGGGATTCAAAATTCAAAGGGATCGGACCAGATACAGTTATACAGGATTCTGACCAAAATGTTGCCAGATGATCAAGTTTGGCGAATTTTGGCGAGTTGTCGCGAGTTTCGCGAGATAGTCATTTACGGTTATGACTATCTGTTATTACTGTCATGACTAAAATGTTAAATAGACTTTACGATTGTAAAGTTACCTTTTCGAGGATGCCTCGCATCCTGAAGCCTTCCGTAGTACATTATACAAGAAATGCTTTAATTTACATATAATTACACTAAAATCATTTACATGTACGCAAAATTCGTAACAATATTATTTCATCTTCCCTTCTCTTCTATTTTTGGGTTAGTTTCTAAGCCTCGAGAATTTGAACAGTGCACATTTTTGATGGTATAGCTCATGTACATTAGATTAAACAATTAGCGAAATATTTCATTATGTTTATTACTTTCCAGCTGTTTAGAATAGTTAACTTAGAAAAATTAGGATTTTTTTTAAAAAAATTTTGCTTTGTTGTTAAAATTTTACTAATGCAAAACCATTTAGGATTAATCAGAGGAAAATTGGCTTGAGATAAAAGAGGTATTTCATTTGAAGATTTAAGCAGAAATATCAAGAGAAATAACCTTCTTTCACGTTCAAAAATAAGAGAAAAATGATAACTAAGCAAACAGGAAAAAGGTAAGAAAGGTTTTGTTAGGGTAGGCTATTTGAACATTGCAAAGCTCACAAGGCTTACATGCCTATGTGGAGGACAAAGGAACACTGGCTCTTACTCATATTATTCAAAGGGAAAGCCATGAAAAACTACCACGCAGCCAGCTTGTTCATGAGGGTTTGAACCCTTGTCGAACTACCAGTATTCAGTCATCTTAACTACTAGTTTATTGGGATGAAACATACGAAAAAAGGGGTAAAAAGGAATTTTTTTTTTTTTTTTTTTTTTACTTGGAAATTGAGCTAAGGAGTTATGAGGAGTTATGAAAAGTATTTTCTACAAAGATTTGTGATAAAGACTTTAAAAATGATTTATTTTCTTTCCTTAAAAAATTAGTAATTAAGTTAAAAAATATTCAAGGCATGACATTGACTTTAACAATAGTTATTAATAAATTATTATAAGAAAGAAAAAAATAAGGGCATCATATTCCCATAAAATGGGAAGTTGTTTCGTATGGAAAACAGTACATATGAATCTTTACTTGGTGCAACAATTTGATCTATGAATCGCTGGAAAAAAATCATGATATAACGGATAGAAAGACATGGTAATGAATTATTTTATGTAAGGGTTAAGCCGCTTGTTGCCAAATCTAGCATGTAAGGAGATAATTAATAAAAATTATTTTTCCTCTGCAATCACACACTTAATGATTGAGAGAAAAGGCAACAAAATTTCGTTAGCTGACTAAGCGCATTCTGGTAAACTGAGATGGAGTCTTTTCGGAAGTTGGATATATTGCTTCTTTGTCGAACTTGAAGTTTATTACCCTCTTCTTCAGATTAAAGTTACTGGTGAATTGCTTCCTTCATACCTACGAAGTCCTTAGTATGACATTTATTCAAAGCTTTTAAAAGTGAAATTTTGTTCGCCATGGCGAATTTCCCATTACCCCTGTAAATGGCTATCGATTTGCCTACACGTTATGAATAATACAACTTTTTGGAGTAATTATTCTTAAATATTTGTTAAATAATCCTGTTAAATAATTTTCCATGAAATCCCTATTGCTGTTCTTTTTCATTCTTTAAATTCCTAACAACAGATAGTGTAAAACAACTAAACTCAAATTTGTAAGGAAACAATATTTTTGAAAATAGGAAAGCTGAAACATGTTAATAACTATACTTATTATCTATTATTTAACAGGTTGTAAGGTTTATCTTAATTTTCTGACAGTTAATTTTTAGTTAAAAGTTACTTTCCTGTCTTTCCTTAATTTCAGCTTACAACTTCCGTCCAAAACGTATTTTCAGAATCGCGGTTGAATGCAAATGAGGAGAAGTATTTAACTGTGAAGTTCTACTGATTTCGCCAGAGAGAGCCAGAGATTATGACTAGCGCGCATTCGCCCTTTTGACTATACTCGCTCTAAAGCTATTTCTACAATCGGCCGTACTTTAGGCCCTTGATAGCTTCGCCGTCAGTTAGCGTTAAAATCGTGATAGCTTCGGCTATATCTTTTTAGTTTGGTTTAGTTAAGTTTTATTACTTATTATTCCCGCAAGCCCAAGTGGAGGCTTCATTGTAACTTCAAGAAGGAGTCGTCTGTTAAATTAATTTTGAATAATAAAGGGTAATTAACCCTTTGTACGTTTACGTTTCTGTCTCTTTGAACTAAGCGATTATTCGTTTATCAGTTCTCAACGTTCCAGACCCATTGCAGTACATTCAAAGTTTGGAACTATGCAAGGTTAAATAAAATATTGAAAAGATAATCTGAAACTTTGCAGACGCATTGAGTGTTTTAAACTATTCTCATTTTTTAGTAAAAATTATGATGATGAGAGAAGGACAAAATAAAAGCATTCATAGAATTAAGAAGGACGCTTTTAAATCACATAAAATTTAGATCGTTAGATACAAATTTTTTGTGTACAACATCCGCCAAATGCGACTTTTTGTGATTACGTTAAAATATCCCAGGTCATGTATAAATGGGATACAAATATTATTTCAAAAAAGCAACATGCTTATTTAAATAAAATTATACCTATTTTCTAAAGGCTAATAAGCTTGCAAGAAGTTATTACATAGTTTTCAGCAAATTAATTTAGCATTTCTGGCATTTTACCTCATCAAAGAAATCCAAATGCTCATGGCGATGTCCAAAATTATCACCATCATAGTTTGAGTCGTGGAGATCATGTTCCTCATCCTCTTCCTCACTATGATCGTGATCGTGTCCATGATCATGATGATGATCAAAGTCCTCGTTGTGGTGGTGGTGATGATCATGCAGGAAATGGTGTATGCAGTTTGAAACCTTAAATTAGAAAGTACCATTGATTAGTTTTTTATGTATTATGAATGACGATAATACTCATAATAACGTTTTTAAATGAGAAAGGTAAGTCCAGATAATTATTTTAAATACAGGGTTTTTAAAAATTCTTTGCAAAATCTTTAATAAGGAAATGGTAAAACAAATCCTTTTCGGTAATGTATTGAATATTTTGATTGCAGAGGGTCTGTAACTAATAACCCCCCCTATAAAGTATATAAATGTTATAAGTGCCGACTATGAGAAATAGCTCATGGTTGGCATTTATAAAACGAATTTATACATCTAATATGGCTCGGAATGACTGGCATAAATTTTCTGATTGGACTGCCAATATAAGCCAAACAGCTGCGAATGTTAGTGAAAAACTGCTAATGTAAACTAAAGATGCAAATATAAATTGTAGCCTTACTTTAAGGTTATATCGTGAACGGTTGTCTTAAGAGATTCCTAAAAATCAAATTCATTCATTTGCGAAGGTATCTGTACCAATATACAACTACTGTAAAATCGTTCTAAATATAACTATTGTTCACATTTTCTTCCACTTTTATACCAGCAACACTTTGCAGCATCAAAGGGTGAAGAAAGTGAATTGTCATTAATGGTAAAGGATTGCCTTAGTATCGTTCTTATTCCCTATGAAAATTTATATAAGGTATATGTAAGTTTCCTGCTTAAATACATATAAATATGGTTGCTAAAATAACATATTTAAAACTACCAGTTCTTTCCGTAACTCACAAAATTTGGGACGTTTGATTTACCATCGTTTTAGGACGAAGTATCAAGTCTCATCTTACATGATATGGATAAAGATATTGCTTGGAACTGAAATCGCACAAGTATCCCGGCTGTTGAAACCCGCTATTCTTTAATCTCACGTTCTATTTCTTCATAAAGTGGCAACGTACTTCTTAGAATGTATTCTAACGAATTATAGAGCCCTACAAATGAGAAAACTTTTATTTGAACAAATTTATTGAGAATTCAATAGTTTTTCGAAGTCGTAAGAAATATATTGTATTATAATTATTGTGTATGTATAATGAATTTCAAACATTCCAACGGTGATGCAAAAACGAGGAACGAAGTTCGCGATTGAATTCTCGAATATTATTCTACAAATTTATGATTTTTATTAAAGGTTTTATTTTAAATTTTAACAATTTTATTTTACCATCTCTGTGGCTTAGAGAAAGAAGAGTATTAAGTATAAAGAGATGGCCAAGTTATGAAAATCTAACCCATCCGCCAATTTAAATTTCATTGCTATGTTTAATGTTGGCTGAGGATTCATCAAATCAAATAAGGCTGGGGAATTCATCAATCGATGAATTCCCCAGCCTTATTTGAATGCAATATTTTTATCATTTGTAAGACTTTATCTAAATATTTATTCAGATAGTGGGGATTTCGGAAGGAATATCAGCTATCTAAAAAGTAACAAGTCATGTATTCTTTTAAATTTCCGATTTTCTAACAGCGAATAATGACCCTATCTTGAATTCCATTATAAAAGTCCTTTAAAATTCTACATTTCAGTAAATCAGATTAATGTTAAAACAGAAACTATGCCCACATTCACTTACTTATTAGTTGCAAAGAGTATATTTATTTATTAAATTAAACATTTTTGTATGGAGATACTAATTTTTTCAAGCAATTTTTCTAAGATTCTGATTACTTCTACCTGCTGTTAGTTAAAGAATGAGCGTGTTAAAAATTGAAGGATGGAAGATCGAAAATCAGTATTAATAGATATTGAATTAAAATGTAATACTTGCTGTTAAAATAATCATATATCACAAAATCAAATTTTGATGTTTGCATTTAAAAATGCTTTTGCGGAATATTTGTTTACTTTAACTTTGATTAATTATATTTCTTAATCAACAGTTCCAGTAAAGTCATGTTTACAGAAGCGGTAACTTTTTGTAGTCAAAGTTGGCATCTTTTGGTGATTTCTAGGATTCAGTTGTCAGCTTGATTCGCTTATATTTTCTTTAAATCTTACAGCTCTAAAAATAGCGCTGAAGTAGTGTATGACGCCTAGGGTGTAATACTGCATCAGCCTTCCTCGCTAGCGCTATTAATGCAGAAGACCATTTTCTTCATGTTATGCGGATAATGAGGAAAAAAGCATCTGTTTTCTTATTGATATTGCTAGATGCCCCACAACAATTCTTGTAAAAATAGTTGTTAACATGACAGGTAGTGGAAAGTACTCAGACATATATCATCTTATTCCTTAGTCATGAACTGATGAGACTTTAAACTTTTTCTTAAATTAAAAATAACCATTCAAAGGAAAATATTTTCACATAACTAAAGATCATTCACATAGAGATTCAGGTCTCCTACATGCAGGCTTTACCATAAAAGGTAGTACTGGTGGCATCTAATATATTCTAGTTGCAAAAATTTACTAATGTTAGAGGAATTATGCTGAGTGATCGTAACATTATATTCGTTGAATGAATAATTTGTTACAAATATACAAAATGCTTTTATTTTACAGCCACTCTTTGCAGAACACTGCTGACAAATTCACTTAACTGAGGGCCTTTTTCCTAAACTAAATAAAAATAAAAATTATAGTTAAATAAAAATTGTGGCTTCCAGAAATAACACAAATAAATCAAAACTTATATAACAATAAAATTCTAATTCAACATTAATATCAAATTCCTTTTTTCACACTGCTCTAGGGACAAATTATTTCGAAGTTCAAATTGTAAAATAAACTCTATAAGGTATTTCTCCCGCCTTCTTAGCGTGTCTTCGTGGTATAGTGGTCTGGACGCTGGACGCGTATTGAGGTCCGTGGTTCGATTCCCAAGAAAGGCGTTGCTCATTTTTCACATCTCCTGCTTCCAAACAATCTAATAGCTCTACAACACCTTTATACTAAATATTAAATGAGGCAAGATAACAACCTTAGTTTAGTGTAGACTTTGGTGAAAATTCTAACGATTTCCAAGGTGTTCACAGACAGATTCCTCTTTTTAAAGAGCGAAAAACTTTGCGAATTTTTGCACAAAATATTTTGCTTTTGAAAACTAGGGACCAATGTCTGATCACCCTCAAAATCTGTGGCCAACCAAAGCTGCTTATTGACTAATTTAAACACACTGAGAGCCGTCCAACCGGTATAGTGGTTAGCATCGCTGCTGAAAGATCCGGGTTCGAATCTTGGAGAAGGCGTGGATGTTTGTAAATGTATAATGTCGGCGGGCCTCTAAATACGCGACGAGCCAAAAGTTCTCTTGTGTGGTTTGGTGAAAGGGGAGAGGGGTGGGAGTCCCTCGGACCCGTCCCCCCGGGTTGCTCTCCATCAGACTTGGGGACGAAACTGAAACAAATCGGACTGTTACTAGGTGCTCAAGGTTGTTGCCAACGACAGCCGTAGTCTTGCTCTCCTCTCCACGAGGATTTTCATGGGAGCTAGTGACAAGTGAGTATAAGCAACAACAACAAATGCACCGAAGCAGTATAAAAAAGATTAATAATTACATAGCTTATAAAAAAGCGTGTAGATTAAAACTTCACTAGATTCAAATAATGCTATGATTACTTGCAAGTTTCTTTCAATATTCTTATAAAACGTATTAGTGTGTAACTATAATGTTCGTTCTCGCTAAGAACTGGAAGTAAACTACTCGTATTTTCATAATAGCAAGTCAGTTCATGGGTATCACTACAAAGAATCGACATTATACGATAATTCAAAGTTAACAATTTCCAGTTAATCCGGATTTTCAGAGTTGATTTAAGTCCCAAGAAAGGAAATTTGAGAAAACGAAAATACAGTTGCTTAATGGCTGACTGAAAATTAATTTAATTAACTGAACAAACTCATCTGTTTTACTAATCGTTTTATAAGTAAAAAGCTAGACAGGTAAAGGATAATTTTTTTTTTTTTTTTATAAAATGTAAGTTTTATTCCAAAGCATCATCGTCTAAGACTTTCTTCTTTATGAAAAAGGATAACAGAATTCATCGTTGGATAAATTGAATGATAACTTTAGAAGGAAATGAGGAGTTCCGGAAATGAAAAGTAATATAGCAGCACACTTTTTAGAATCCCCAGCAGTGTATTTACGTATTTTTTATTTATAAATGAACTTTATTTATTTATTCATTTATTTATTTATTTTAAAGATGAGATATTGGATTTGTTCCTGAAAGATTAATTATATTCTCTGAGATTTATTTTTGAATGTGGCTAACACAATCTTAAAATAAGTCGCAGATAACCTCGTTCATCCTTTTGGAGTGGTTTCTAAATAATGACAATAATACGTTAAATTTTAAAAAAGGATAACAAATTTGACTTTTAAAGAATCTCATTTTTTAAAATCATAAAAAAATACGCGGTCTTAAATTAACAACATATCTCTTAAAATATGAGAATGTAGATTTAATTACAAAAATTAATCATTAAAGTTTTCTCTGCCAGAGTTTTAACTCTTAAAAAAAAGAGGAAGAATGTATAGTTGAGGCTTATTTTATCAAAATTTAATTGCGCTTACGATAGAGTTTTACAGGTTTTCATAAAGCAGAAAGATTTTATCATGAGTTTGAATTATAGAGAATTAACCTCAATTAAATTCATTACATTGATTTAGTTTACAGTTAAATTCATTGCCAAAATGCCTAAAATTTTTATTTTGTTATTTACAAAAAAGTATGAAATTAAACGCTGTAACTAATAAATTGAGATATTAATTAGATATCTAACGCATAGTTTATGGAAAATTAATTTTAATAAATATAATATTAAATTAAAATGCATACAAAGTCTGTATTGAAGAACTAAAATATGTTAACATCATTCTAAAAATAGATAATGATGATCTTATTTCACATTATAAATTTACTTTTATTTTACTGCTTTATTTTTACGACGAAATGCTTCATTGCGCAAAATAAAAAGGGTATTTTATGCCCTTTCTTTTTATTTAATATTTTATTTTATTTATTTAATTATTTTAATTTTTTTTTTTTTTTTTTTTTTTTTTTTTTAGAAATACGGTATTTCCATTATTTTATTTTTCAGTACCTAAAACCTTGGATAATTAGATCAATAACAACATTCATAGTGATTTTTTATTACATACCTGATCAGCTTCCGTTTTATTTCTGCACATTTCTGGTAGAATTCTACTGTAGTCTCCAGATGTTATGTTTAGAACTACAATCGCACATCCTTTGAGGATTACTTGTTTCTGCACAAATAATAGCCAAGAAAAAGTAAATTAATTCCTTTTAAAAGAATGCTTGAATCACAATTAGTTTACTTTTGGAAATTGAAGAAATAAAATATTGACAAATGTTTACAAGTTTAACTTATCATATAGCAAAAGTCGTCACCTCATTTAAAAAGCATTTCTTCTGTCAATTCCATCATGGGCAATATTTATTTATTTATTTTAGGATATTTCGAATTTGTTTTTTAAACTATACAGAACACTTCGAGTGCCACATCATATAAAGTGTAATCAAAGGCAACAATGCAAATTTTAATTTGATTTTTGGAGGAAAATAAAATCTTATCAAAAATAGTTCTCATTTTAATTATACTGCTCACTAAAAATATTTAATTTTACTCATAATAATACATATGTTTAATTCTTGTCTTCGGCTATCATTTAAATGAATTTCAAATAAGCAAGATTTACCATACCGGGAATAAATTCTGTTAAATACACAATTTCAAAGATTATTTTAAATTAATATAAGACTATTTTAATAGGTAGAATTGAATTATTTATGAGATAAATTTACTTATGAGAAATTCTTAATTAACGTGTTAATGCAAAAAATTTAAATACCTCCAATGGCATTATGTTCAGGCATTCTGACATCTTTTGGCGAAAATTCTGATTTCCATCTGTAATAAAATAAAGTATTTGAACAAAGGCTTTAAAACAAAAGTCTTAATTATAAAATTTTAATTAACCTATGCAAAATTTACTTATGAAAATCATACCGATGTAGATTACTTATTTTATTCTTCATCTACTCAACATCATGTAAAATTTAATAATAGTTTGTTTAAATATATTAACATAAAATATTATAGTGCTTTCAGATATAAATAAAAAGATATATAAAGGGAAGAATCTAACTTCTTAGTACACCTGAAAAAATTTTAAACATTAAATTCACTATTTTAAAATCAGTTAATTAAAAAAAGTATGCTAATTCTTTATATTTGTTAGGTAAGAAGACTCGTGTTTCTTAGAAATTTACATTATTTTTTTGAGTAGATGTAAATCTGCCATTAATAAATCAGATATTACACAAACTTTAACTTATAGCAGTGCAATGACATCTATTTTGAATCAATTAATATAATAACTTTTTTATATTCTTCATTTTTTAATATTTACTTCAAATAATGTTATTCGAATAGTTTTGTAAATTTGCATTTAGATTTCAGATTTAGATATGATTACACGATTTACCTCTAGCGAGACTTACCACACAAATGCTGATAAACCTTTTCCTTTATTTCAGCACTTCCTGGGACACCGCGGACAGAAACGACGAGGAGTAGTAAAGCTATTCCACTGGACCACATATTTCAAAGTTTCCAGAAATAAGGTTTCGCTACCAGTACCAAATAATTTAGAAATATTTACCTGAGAGAGCATATATATATATAGTAAATTTTAAATAACAGAATTTTTTTTTATTGTTCCCAAGGCCAGTACGGAAGCTATTTAGAACAAAGGCAATTCTTTGCATGCAAGGGCAAGCGCAAAAATTGCAGTAATTACAAAATGATTTTACTTCTCACAAGAACATTATTTTTTGAAGTTCTTTACTTCTCACGAGATCGTATAACTTACACGAAATAGTGTTTACGAAGGGGGGGGGAGAAGATCAAATTATGTCATTATATTTGAAAAGTGATTTTAACTAATTGGCTACTTTTTAATCTTCTTCCTGAGGCACAAAAAGGAAGTTCGATTTGTGGTACTAAGCTTTTTTTATTAAGTAACTTTGTTGGTTTTTGTTTTTATTCAGTAACTAAATTCATTTATAGCCTTTAGAAATGCATCAAATTTTAAGTAAATATGATTTTATAAAATATTTTTCTGTTTGGATAATGTTTTCTATTTGGATAAATTTGCGCAGAAACATAAATTAGTCCATTCGAATTAAACGGCATCATCTGTGTGTGGGGAGGGGGATGAATAAATATACGTAAAGACAAGCAAAAAAAGTATTCTACAGAGCCCTTTAAGTATAAAAAGTTAAAAATCTTCAAAATGTTTATTCTCATAAAGAAATTCTAGGCTGTTCTTTTCATTCCTTATCAAGACAATTTTATTCATTTTTAAGAATTAATTCCATAGTTTCAGACTGATTAGTTAAATATTTCATTTAATTTATGTGGTATAAAATACATAAACAGAAGTAGAGAATGCAAATTTTACTGTAAAAATAGAGTTACTTAGGAAAAAGTTATAAAATTTATTTCTTAGACTTTTAACTCAAAACTAAACATTCATCTCTGCAGTCTCCTCTCAAAAATTAATAAACTTAAAGTAAAGAAAATTCTTATTAAATTTTACTAAGAACTAGCCAGTGTAATTATAATTATAACTTTTCCTTATATCCTGGTAAAACATGGTGGGATGATTTTTCTAAACGTAAGAAATATATCTGTTAGATTAGTTAACAAAGAACTAAAATGGAATTTCGCATTTAAAAAATATTTTACTGTCACTTTTAAAACAAAACATTTACTTTAAAAACAAAAACACTGTCGTGAGAGATAAGAGCAATATATTTAATTTAGAGGTGACTAATAAGCAGTGGCGCTGGCTAAGATCTATTCAAATGGGGTTTTATCTTCATTCGTACGTCATCATATGGATCACATAAGCAAGAACGAAATATGTTTTCTTGTTAGAACTATCAAATTAAGGTCTTCTTCTTCAAGTATACTTCTAAAGAAAATTCGAGTGTATTGTGAAGGAAAACATTCTACTAAGTTTCTATCAGAAAATATTTAAATGACCAGAGTGATTTTCTTTCGAAGTAATATAAAAGAATTCAGTCTGGCGCAGCAGATCTACTTCAAAACTTAAATTTTTTAAAAGGGTTACAGTAGACGCAGATGTAGTATTGTATATACCTGATTACCGACTTGCTTAAAGATAATGCGTATTAGTTTGAAAACAAAACTTTATCATTTACGGCCACGTTTACGATAAAGTTGCTTTGCTACCAGCTTGCAAAAAGTTTTAGAATAAGAACTAATTAACTTTTCTTTAACAATTAGATCAACTTTTCAAACATGAATTAATGAAACTCCTGGCTCCGTTGACCGTGAGTTCTTGCTTGTTAATAAATAAGGGATGTATTTGAATTCAAGGCTTGATTTCCGCAGGCGCAAATGGAATATGTAGCATGTTCTCTACTTTCTAGGTGGACTCCAGATTCCCTTTTTCAGTTACTTTAAAATTATAGATTATTAAACTATGATTTGTAATTAGTAAGATGGTAGGGATTTTTAAACAATCCCAAAGTTTATTCTTAAGATGATCACTATATAAACACAGTTCTTCCATATCTGAGAAGAGTTGAAATTTTTAATTCTACTTTTGATTCATGTACTTGATCATTGAAATGATAAATAGCTTAACTGCATTAATTTATTCATATATGTATAACTCAATTAAGTTTTAAAGCAATAAGTATTCTTTCGACTGTTTTCTTTTTAAAAGTTATTTCGGGTTTGGGAGTTTCTGTTTCAGTTGATCAAGTTTATACTATATACAAAAGGCTACTAAACTGAAAATACGAAAATGAAAATAAATTATACACACACACACAAAAAAAAAAAAAAAAAAAAAAAAAAAAAAAAAAAAATCGTTTAACTATTAATTTTGAATTCTAAAGTTATTTCACGAAATACTTAACATGAAATCTTCTTTATATAAAATATAATTTGCAACAGTCGTATCTACTATGTTGAAAATTTAGATGGAACGGCTCCCAAACAGATTTTGTCCCGGACCTCCAGTTTTGTAAATCGAGCCTTCTTTGAATTTCTCTTGGTAGAGCTAAGCTATTTTCATGTACCTATTTGATTAGACAAAATTATAACTTTTATTTACTTCAGCCACTTGTATTTTCTCGCAAGTTAGCAATGCTTCAGTCGTTTACGGAAAATGATTTTTTCTCTCAATTTTAAATCACAATTAATAAGCAGAAATGAAATTTTATTATTGTTTTTTATCACGTTTTAAAAGTTATCAGATTTAGGGTTTCAGTCGCTCTCCTTAACACTAAGTGTAGCCTAAAATAGGCAGTTAAAATGTAATAATTTTGGCACAAGATTTTAAGAGCTGTGCAACGACAATAAAAAGGGGAAAATGTTTAATTTTTACTCAAACTTCCAACAAAGTTTTAAAATTATAACCCAAATATTGATTTCAAGATCATTATCAGCATTTTGGGGCTCTCTTTAGATAAATATTATTTTCATAATTCTGACTGAAACCACTACTCAGCCTCCTATACACAGTGGTCTAAGATTAAACAGGAAACTAATTAAAATTAAATTAATTAAAATTTAAATTAATTATAATAAATAAATTAAAAATTTAAAATTAATTAAATTAAATAGGAAAGGTTTAAGCTTTTGTAACAAATTTTTCTTATAAATAGAAAATTATGAACTTAACTTTTTCTTCGACATTATAATTATGTTTACCTGTGATACGAAAACAAATTATTACATAGGATAACAAAATTCAGTTCACGTTTTGCTACAGAAGTTTCAAATACAAATGCTTTGCGATATTTCTTGAGCTGAATGCAGACTTGGTTGCAGATTTTCCTAATGGGAATTACTTTTAAATAATAAATATTTTATTTTGGAATAAAAATAACACTATATTTGTATAATATATGATGCAATTTAACGGTAACTTCTTTAGAATGTAACTGCAGTCGAGTTTGAGGTACTTACTAGTATCGCAGCCACTCGTGTAGAAATCATCAAATAATGAGAATGTGCCAAAATACGCGCATAAACATTCTTTGGGCAACCATACTGGATGTAAAGGCTTCTTGCCTAAGTACGCCGTAAATGATTCCTTCCTTGATCCATGAAAACTATCCTTCAGTCAAGCAACATCATCATTTTCGTGTGCGTTCTTTTTGTTATACTTTAAGTTCGAACGTTTTTTATAGACAAATGATAATATTTTTTTTGCCTTCAACTCAATTTTAAAACATTTGCTTGTAGAATTTGCGAACAATGGAAGAAAACCGCTACAAATTTTCTGCAAGAATACAGTATTTTGCCGCAAAATCACTAAAAGGAATAATGAAGAGATGCGTTTCACAGATACCTTGTTAGCAATGCCGAAGTTGTGCGCGATGCGGGGTTTGTGCAGTTCTCTGATATTGTTTAAGCAAAAATAGACAGCTAGGTACACAGGGAGAAAAACAGACAAAAAAAAATTACGGAACGGTTTCGATAAAAATATAAGCGTTTTATTTTCTAAATATTTTAAAGTATCGTATAATTCTTACTTAATTATTAAAACGCGTATTTAAAATTGCTAAAGTATGTTTTCTTTTTGACGATAATAATGTCTGCCGACTATCAGCTTGCACTAGCTAAGTAAATTTTACATTTTTTCATTTGTAAAAAATCGCCAATTTCCCCAAGGTAGTTGCGTCAATACGTAAGTACCGAATTTTGTTTATATTTCATCTTTGTATGGATATTATCTCTTTCCGAATTTTATATTTTGTTCATATTTGATCTCTACTATCTAACCTATTTATATTATGTATATATCCTGAAAGTTTTCTGCTTTTTGATTACTTAAAAAGTCATTATAATATTTTTAAAATCCATGCATCATATTTTGCCTTCCTCAGTGCACTTTATTATGCAGAATCACTCATTAGTGCTCATAACCAATATTATCTTTATTTTAAGTTCGAGAAATTTTTTTTTAAAAAGGAAAAACTCTTCTTTTATATCCATTGTCTTCGTATGGTTTCTGAACCGTATTCAGGACTCAGAAACTATACCGCGTTTCTAATTTCTTTAAAAAAGTGTTTTAGCAATGTCTCCTTTTAAAATTTTTCAAGGAATTACCGCTTCTGACGAAGATTTTGCACTTCTCTTCCTTTAAACTACCTGCCAATATCTCAGTTGAAATTTTTAAGCAAAGGTGATGAACAAGATAACTTAAGTCAGAGTGACTACAGGTACTATATGTCGGAGTTGACCTCTGACAGACAGTACTATATTTCGGGATGGAAAAACAGACAAGTTGGCCTCTGACGTACAACATTAGCATTAATAGAAAGTCCTGTTAAAGAAAGTGTAGCCAGTGTAAAATTCTGACCTTCTAATTGAAAATTAGCAGCGCAAAAGTCACCAAATTTCTTTTCTTGAAACAGAAACATTATCTATCTGTGTTGGAAATTCATCATAAAATTTAGTCGTATAAAACGGTATTCTTATTCGAAGTCTCTAAAATATAACTTTACTGTTAAAATTTGTGGTGGCAAGAGTAATGAAATGTATAGCAACTCTTCAAAGAAATAACCATAATACTGTATAAAAGTTAATTCAAATGATTCTATATCAAGTAT